AAAATATACATCTTTGGAAAGTCGGAAGAGCTGTTCCTTTATTAATAATTAGAATTTCTCTTAATTTTTATGTCTTAGACCCTATTTTCACTTTAAGCAGTTAGAGAATAGAAGCTTTAAGCTAGAGCTAAGCTCTAAAGAAGCTTTAAAGAATACGTTAGAATACTTGTGTAATATCTAGGTTCACCTTTCATAATATGATTGTAATTATATAATAATTTTCTGTAGCATATAGTAGCGAAATTGAGTTTGTAATCTCTTACGTTAAATAATACGAATTTCAAAAATTACAGAGGAAGATTCCAGCATTTTCGACATTGTTGATTCTCAAGCGTTTCCTGAACATTTATTACATGCAAATAAATGGCTGACTTTGAATTTATCGAAAGACATAATTCAAGAAAGTGATAGAGTTTCGGCCGGTCCCGTAAGTTGTTCCGGCAACGCAAGCAATAATAAAAGGTTTGGAACAACAAAATTTGAGCAACATACAAAACAAGATAACGATCTTCCAAAAGATCTAAGTAGCCTATCCACTTTCTCTTCTCAAAATACACAAAGTTATTTGAAAAACATCTTTAAGACTACTGTAGTCTCAGAAAACTATGTGATATCGGAATCGCAGAGTGAAGGCTCCTTCTGCTCGAACACGGTCAAAGATTCCGAGGGGAGTCAGGAAGCAGGTAACAATAATGCAAGTCAAGAGAAAATAGACGAGGTTTCGTGCAATGGGATCGATTACATCAACAAATTGGTGGGATTAGGATCCTTACCGTCACAGATCGAAACCCACGATTGCAACGATTTATCGCACAATATTACTTCAGAGACAGAAAGAGACATCTCTGCTAATGAAAACGCTTCGAATGTTACATTTCACGAATGCTGTTCGTTGCATCAAAAAAACGTTGATAATTCACGAAAAGATGACGACAAGATATTGCCAGGGTTAAGAATACTTGATATTACACCAATTTCGCAAAAGCTTCATTCTTCTAAACGGGACATTACGCACGATATATTTCAATCTAACGGGGAGAACTGTTTTTCCCGAAACGAAGACGAGAGCGATCTTACAAATTTAGAGATCGATAGCATCACCCGGTACCAGAGATGCAGTCTTGTGGATAATTTAAAATTTTCTACTGTCGTTATGGACGAGGAGGAATGGATTAACGATAAAACTCAAGAGTTGTGTACGTCTTCGTTCCAACTGTGTGGTGAAAGTATCGAATTGATTCAGATTACTCAGAATGTCACTCAAGACGTAGTATCGTTTCAACAAAATGGACGATGTTTGCAAGGTGATAATTCGGTAGAAGATGAGGAACGTATGGATCCTTCTGAAAAAAGGAGAAACTTAGATTTGGAAAATAAAGTAGACGCGCTTCGTAAAAACGAGGGGAAAAGGATTCCTTCCGCGTGGTTGACCTTAATCCTTGATGCTCCCAACACGAATAACATTCCTCTTGAATCGATGAAGGCAACACTTTCGGTTCTACTGGATGAGAAGGTAATAATGCAGTATATGAAAAACAGATGCTGGAAAGATACAATTGAAATGCAGTTAGTGAACGCTATATTAAATTTTTGCAATGTTTTTGAAAGTGAGAATAAAAATAAGGCGTACACGAATGAAATTATTCAGGTGGTTACGAACACGTTAGACAAATGCATTGGAAACAGAGAATTGGAAAAGGTAAATTGAATACGATAATAGAATCGTAAAATACAATTTGACACGATAAGTAGTCTATACCTATTCATATTTCATATGTTTGTTAAACTAATTTACAGACGATGACATTTGCAATTTATATTCTTTTATACGTTGAATACTTGAAACTTCCAGTCGAAAAATTATTTTTAAAAGTTTGGTTGGAATTTAACATTTAAGAAAATATTATACATTTATTCAAGAAGTTATTTTTGAGACACGGATTACACGCGCGCGCACTTACAAATCTAGAGCTGTTAAATGATTTAAAAAGATGTCATTAAAGTACATTTAATTGGAATTACAAAACATCTTACATTGTAGTTGATCATTGTTGTTTCTTATTTAAAAAATTAACATTAAAAAAAAAATGTTTCTTATTTACTGAATAAAAGAAATTTCATAAATTTGTTTGAAATTAAAAATTTAACTACGAATTTTAATGTATAATACATTTGTTTGTAATCATTTACGATCACAGAAAAAATCTGCAAGTTTGTATAAAGTTATGATCATAGATGAGAAGATAAATTGTCTAACATAATTTTCAAATAAGAATTTTCAAATATTTTATCGATTCGAAATAGTTATTATCCACTATTCCACAATGAACAGTATTGCAAAGTAAATCGTTTTGTTAATTGATCATTGAATACAGAATAAACAGTATTTGAAAATGTATACATATTAAACTAGAAATTGTTGTATCCTAGGCTACAATATTAATCCATCAAGTAACCATTATTGTGGAATTATGTGCATGTATGGGAGTTTGTATCGAAGTTATAAATTATTTATTAACGAGACTGAAGTCGTACGAAGGTATGTTGACTTCGTTGGCGACTGGCAAAAAAGCGGACGTCCATAACATAGTGAACCCATTGCACATCATCTTTTATTCGTTAAATTTATGTTTGGAGAAATATCGGTTAGTAGTTTCTGGTAAAGATGACAATCATCTCGAAGAGCATGCGGAAAAACAAGCGGATGAAAGCAGACAAATACGAGAAGGTCGGTGGCAAATGATACTGAATGATTTTACTACAATTGCTGTAGAAAGTTTTATTAAATTTACAGAAATGTCGCAAAGATTATTGAATATATTAACACGTAAATAGACAGTGCCATAAATAATAAATGCGCACGAAATGTACTGTTCTTACTGCGAGTTGTATTCACGATTTCATTAAAGCATTAAACATTACAATTTGTGTATAATTAAATTGTTCAAGTAGACCGAGATTCTCGACTAATTTCTTGTTTATAAGAGTCATTTCTAAAAATCCTTTTGCGCAAAATTATTACTAAATAATAAATACTTTGAATAGAACTTGTTACGATGTATTGTATGATAAATAATGATTTTGAACTGAACGATTTAAAATAAAAGTATCAATTAACAATGAAATACTTCTTATACTTAATATACGAAGAAAATAGAAACGCATACAAATATTAATATTACGTTACATAATTGATGAGATTCGGATCGACTGTAAGTGACGTTAAATAATATCGTTTCTTCTTCAGAGACATTAAAATTCTTCCAATGGCACAACAGTTTTGAATTTTCCGGTATTACGTCGAACACTATATTTATAAACTTATCCAAAGGACAAATGTCTGTGCAACTTGGTATCGTCAAAGGTATAATATCACCTTCCACTCCTGTATAATAATTTATCTGAAACAATAATTGCGTAGTTAGTGCAGTATTCAATTCTAGAACGTTCATATATACTACATATATTGTTCATTAATCAATGGAAAGTTACGGGTAAACGTTTCTATTCTTAACTTAGATATTCTTTACATGTGTGTGATATTTTGATATATATATATTTCGATTTTTAAAAATACGGTCTATAAAATATACTAAACCATTGTTTACGCTACGAATTAAAAATAGTTGCAACATCGTTTATCGCTATTGAAACAGTTTGGAAAAATGATTATGATTTTCGAAGACGTCTTGCACGTTTAATGGTATTACTAATACATTTATTTACTTTTTTGTTTTTAGATTACTTTTACTACGTGGTATAATTAAATTTTCTCCAGTATTTTTAATTTTCGAAAATGCAAGTGCTAAAATAGATACACAGGATAAAAAAGGTTTTATATATAGTTGGTACAACTTTGAACAGGACAATATATATTGTATACCTTTATCCCATGATGATCGGTTTCATTGTCATAGTAACTTTCGAAGATCACTGAGGCAGCTTCGTTAGGAATATGCGGTGACCATACGTCAAGAGATTTCAAAATGCCAGCTATATTTCTATCATTACCACTGTATAGCATAAGTTTCCGTTCACTGGATATATTTCCTTGAATATATCCTAAAATATTCCCTAATATTTCCTTGATGAATGTTCCTCCGTTTAGCTTCTTTTGCAGAGGAGTTTGCGAGAGGAGATCGTATTTTAACAACGTAACGTTCAACATTTCTCCATCGGGGAAAATGTCTTTGGCCCAGTACGGGAGAGATTCGTTTAGACTAACCTGTGATTAGACCCGTTGTTATTTTCGGATCAAGAAAAACGTTCAAGTCCAAAATAACACGAAAGAGAACAAATTTAAAGACAAGATGTACGCGCGTCTTACTTTTGTTTCGAAAACCGCGTATAAGAGAGCTATGTCCGATGGATAGAGCATCTTCATTCCAGTATGGTTGGAGACGTAATCGAATAAAGGCTTATGATGTAGTAGTTCTGATTTCACATCATCCGACATCATCACGCTTTCCATTTCGGACGCAAAACTTGGACAATCTAATCCTAATAATAGAGTGTCCTCGTCGGCGATTGTATAATCTGCAAGCGTTGAACATGAACAGTTTGAGCTGATCTTTTCATTTATCTCACGTTCCATTATGGTATTTGCATCATACATTCGTTATGGCGAATGTTTCGTTAAAGCGAATGCGTTCGCTTGATCATATGAAGTCTAGTTACGAAGCTTACAATAAAATTTCTTAAATATGTAATTTCAACTATTGGGTTGGCAACTAAGTAATTGCCGATTTGTTCAATGAAATAAAAAATTTTTTACTTGGAATGAAGTTTAATCTGTAATGTATTTTCCATTTTGTTCGATGACCTTTTACCATCTCTCTGACAACTTGAAAATTCCACGCTCGTAGAAAGTCTGATCCTTTTCGGCCAAAAACTGAGTTAAGTGAGATTTTACAGCGTCATCATCGTTAAAAGTTTCACCACGATGGGAGTTGTCCAGGGATCGAAATAAGTGGTAATCCGATGGCGCGAGATCAGGGCTATATGGTGGGTGTAACATCAATTCCCAACCAATATCCATCAATTTTTGCCGAGTGGACAAAGACTTGTGCGGCCTAGCATTGTCCTGCTGGAAAATGACACCTTTACGATTGACCAATTCTGGTCGCTTTTCCTTGACCGCTGCATTCAATTTGTCCAGTTGCTAACATTCACGGCCAATAAAAAATAACATAATAATAATAATAATAATTTTATAATATAACATTTACGGATATCATAAAAATGG